TTATTGATAAGAATGGAGACTATTTCATTTAATAAATGTTTAGTTTTGATACATAAGTTGTTCGAGTTTTTTCATCTAAAAAAAAAAGTGACATTAATTTCTTGATGACCTAATACATAAACCCATTTTCTGTGTTTAACCCTTATCTCTTAAAGTTAAATACTCATTCAGTTTCTTAAACTCATTTCAGTGTTGCAGCTTTTACCACTCTTGAAGATGAATTGTTTCCTAAGTTGACTACCTTATTAAAAAAAAAAAGATAAATTGCCTTATTTGCTTAATTGGAACCTGTAACTGAGTTTTACATAATTTAATTTCAACTTGTGTCATCTAGTCTTGCTGCCTTCATCTGGTGAAATATGATATAAAAGAAAATCAACATGGATTCACAAAAAATAAATCTTCCCATATTAACCTTTTAACTTTATTTTTAAAGGCAACAAGACCAGATGACACAAGTTTAAGATTTAATAAAAGTAGTCTAGGTGTCATTGAAGTAAGGGGTTTCGGTGATCTTTAAATAATGAAAATAACAAAAAAATCCACACATCATTGGATTCCACAGTCAAAAATTAGTATATTTACACTGCAACTTAAAATGTATAATTAATGAAAAACAATTAAAAATTTTACCTGTAAATTGACCTTTCACACCATGCAACCCTCTCATTTGAACAGTGTTAACAAAATGTCATTGATTGATATTAAATTATTGCTTTACGTAGTTACCTGAGACTGAGTAAAAACCTGTGTCAAGGCAAAATGAAATCTGTCAATTTCAAACTCATACACATTGATTCATATCATATGGATAAATGAAATGAACATTGTCAACAACCAAATGCTAAAAATGAAGTATGAAGTTATCTATGTACGTATAAAAGCAAAGGAGAGGTGTTGTATTCACATTGGTTTTAAACTTGAAATACTGTGATTGACAGATAAGTACCAGTAGTAACTTCTACCCCTTCTACATCATTTCTTGACGTAATTGATAAATTATATAATTGAAATACAAAGGTGAAGGAAGTGAACATTTGTCTATGAATTATGAATGAAATTAGTAATAATAAGTGTGAATATACTATGATATTAAGCAACATTTCATAGAAAGTATTAGTATGAAAAACCTGCAAATATGTCAGGTAAAATATGATTATGGATATAATGTATTATGTTATTTCCAATATAATGTGTTCTCTAACATGATATTGTTAGGTGAAATTTGTTAAGCCATGCTGGCACATCAAATCATCACCTTTTGAAAGTGTAACAGGTGGCCCATAGGTACTAATGTTAAGTTTGACTTCACACAACTTACAAATGAATTTATTTTAAATCCAGGTTATGAAGTCCTGAGCTAGCACACAAGTCACCAACTTGAGGAATTTGTGTGTGGAATATAGAACTCACTCAGAGACAGTTGTAATATACACAAAATAATTTGTATTACAAACTGTTGATGAATTCCTCCACATCAAAATTCCCAAAGTTATCTTGAAATAATCCACAATCTAAACTATTGTTGCATCAGGGAGGTCACGTGACTAGTATCACACCACTTCTCTCGAACCTTCGGGAATAGTTGGGAGATTACTAGATATAGGGTAGTCTGGTATATATATATAAGAGGGTGACAACGTGACGGAACAATGCGTGTGTAGACAGTGAGTAATTGATCTGCAGTCAGAGAGTATTATTGAAGTTGAGCACGTTCGTTGTTATAGCGTTTGTTTTAGCGCGATTGTTGAAATTAAGTGTATCGTAAAGTTATATTCGGAAAGAATAAACCAGTTTTATTAAGTAAGGACTTGTGTTGCTAAAGTTTCGTCAGAACGAATTTACGGAAAATCAATTAACGAACGGAGATGTAATACTATCAAACTCTTGGATTCTGATATTTTCATTAATCAGACCTTCAGCTATGTTCATTAACATGGATACAACATTGAACAAGTTATCTATTAAAGTAATATGAGGAATGTCCTCAGTCATAGGTTTTATTATACAACTGTGATAGCAAATCTTGCACTATTTCTCTTACTCAGTCATAGCAATTTAGTGATATATTTTACTGGTCTTACTAAATTTTCGATACAGTTAATGTTTTTCATATTTCTTCTGTTTTCCAATATTACATTCATCACATGGAATGGACATATTTCAATTTTAGAATATTATTTTGATGATAATTATATTAATTCTTAAAGCAAAGGTGAAAAATTATTTTCAAGATTGTGTTGCCCTTTCTCCACTAAAGTTGTTTGCATAATTATTTTTGAAGATGCATAGAATATGTCAAGGTAATAGCCTGTATTTGGTTTTGTGAGCTAACCCATGTCAATTTAATACAGACTGTGATTGTATCACGCCTCTCTAAGTTATATATATAAATCACATTCTTATTTAATATACAAATGAGACTGCCATTGTTCATACCACTTTTATCATAGACTATTTTATCACACTCTAGCCACACCCAATGATATGATATATAGCAGACTGTTGCTAAGCCATCATATAGTCTGTTTAGAATACCCATTCATCATTTTTTTGACATGCTGTTGGTTTGATTTGGTCAGACATATCTATGTATTGATTTATGCCTTATGGAAAATGCACCACAAAATTTATTGTATGTCTTTATTTCTACAAATTCAATGACTAAAAGGAATTATAACTGGTTTTAAAGTTTTGTTTGTGTATTTTCAAATAGAAAATGCTTTTGGATCTAATTAAACAACTCACACCAAAGTAGAGCATGAAGAGAGTTATTATTTGATGTATCACTGATTCTTATTGGTCCAGTCAGTTTGAACTAACACCCTGTTTTTGGTTTTAACATATGGTTGCTGCCAAGTGGCGGAGGAAAGATTTAGCTATCATCATAATTTTTTTAAAGCTGATTTACAACTAGTAGGAGCACAGTTACCTTGAAATAAATTGTACAAACTCAGTGTGTAATAGTACTGTTGATGTTTTTATTGTTTGGTGTACAATAATTAGTATTTTGTTTATGGGAGATTTATATATTCTCAACTGCAGCTTTGCATCACACACTTCTGTTGTCAAGAGTGATAATTTTCTAAGATCCAATAATTGAAGACAGTTTTATTTTTTTAACAAGTTGATTGACACAAGAAATGTGTTGGTTGCCATTGGCATTTGTGGAACCTGGCACTATACAAGAGTTGTTGAAAAGAAATTATTGATAATTTTCTTAAAAGTAAAAGGTGGGAGCGCAGGGACAGCCTTGACGGATCAAATGGTTCCTTGTTTTCAAACCGGTAATCATCCTTGTAGCTCCTCTTTGAATCCTATCTAACAACTATTTTTTTTAAATAGGATAACTAATTAAGTAATAAGTCAAACAGAATATCACCACAGACGAGATGGTAATGTTGGAGGATTCCTTGGTTAGGTATATGGTTAGAGTTGTATATGGAATATATAGAAGGAGAACTGAAATGTTATCCAGAATGCTATGAAAATGAGAAACAGAAAAAACCCATCATGAGCCCTTAGGTACATCACTTGTAATGTTTATCTGCTGTCATAAGCTTTTAAACACAAACTTTTTATATCACTTTCCATCACAAAAATT